TTGATACTTAAAAAAGTTACATGCAGAAAGGAGAGGAAAGTTAAGCTTTGGAACAGACAACTAAGCATTTTTATTTGGATGAACTATCAGTATAATTCGGACCTTGATATAATGGGTTTAGTGCTACACATTGGGCATCTCTAATACTGAATGCTAATTCCAATGTTGAATACCTGTCAAGTATAAATTGCCAAGAAAGGCTAGTTGTGTTTTGAATGATTCTTTTATTTTCTGTCCACATTTAGTGCCCTTATATTACAGAAATGCAAGTCACATGCTGGGTAGTGTTGCATTTCTGTTGAAACAATGTCAAAACAATTTACTGTGGGTGGAAAGGAATGAACAAAGCTAGCAGACAAGGCTTCATGCATCTGTTTCAACTTGCTAGGAAGGCAATATTGTTGAAGGGGATGTGACGAGCCCTGGAGGTTTGCTATCAAGGAAATGCAGTGTTTATCCATTTTCTTTATTCTTTGGGATTTCATTTATGATTTGTTCTAATTATCTGTTATAACAGTGAAAAAATAAATGCTATATAAGCCATGGACCACTCTTAATCATTACACAGCAAAGCACATGTCATCTTAATATTGTGGGGCAATTAAATTGAAATTGATAAGTGGTATAACATGGTTGAAGACTTCCACACGGTCATGCACCTCATTTAAATGACCAGCCTGTGTGCTGTAGGGGTTTTGCCTTGATCGGTAAGGAACTATGTATTGTTAAAAAGGTTGTGTACCATCCCCAATCCCTGCTGAGCAGTAGCAAGATTCCAGGGGTTCCAGGCAGCTACCCAGAGTTGTGTTTCCTTAAACAGTATGTTATAATACATTGTCAGCTGCAGTGCAATTCACTCCTTTCCCAAATGACTTTGGAGTAAAGTTAGCATTTGACACACCCTGCAGAGAACAGGGAAAGCATCTTAAGTCAAAAATTCCATGTTTACATCCAAAGGTTAAAGGCTTCCAGTAAGAAACATACTTAACTGGCCTGGTTTTGCTGTCTAGTCATCAGTAGTTCATTTTTTAAAATGTGTGCAAATGTGTTTGCTTTCTCATTTAAGTAAGTCTTTGAGGAATACTTGAAAATGTTACTGGGCTTACATATACTGCTTGTTGAATCCTTGCAATCTGAGAGAATTGCAGAAGACACCAAAATATGGTGGCTTACCAGTTCAAGTCCAGTTGCCCTGGTTCCAAAAAGTGTAATTTGCTTGCACCAGCCACTTAATACGCATGTTTATCTTCTGCTTTTTAGTCGCAACCAAAAGTGAGATTAATTCTTTTGTCATGCATATGTTTGTGAATTTTTGGGAAAGGATGGTAGTAGATGAGTTTACAGTATAATCACATATTCCACACATTTAACTTACTACATGATTGAACACCGGCCCAGTTAAAATTGCACAACTGGAATGTAATCAAGGTGGAGAGCTTAAAAGCTATTTGGGGCCAGATCCACTGTCTGAAAAAAGCTTTTAAAGGGCAAGGGCTTGCTCTGTGTACAGGTTCTGGAAGTTCTGGGCATGTTCTCTCTCTTCCCTTCCCCCACTAGCCCACAAGGATGTTCAAGGGTTTGGGTATACACAATTTGTGTATATGCAGAACCCTTGGAACCAAAACCCTGTGTAAGATGTGGTTATATTGTATTCTGTTTGCCAATTACAAATCTGTTGCAAAAGTACTTTTAAGAAGAAAATTGTGGTGGTGGTGAAATTCAGGCTTTTGAAAGTTCTGTATTTAAATTTCTCAGATTAGGTTACTCAGTGTTTCTAAATTTGTGGAACACAATTGCCATGTTGGCTTCCGCTTTTCAATCCAGGGCTTTCTTTATTCTTTTGGAATTCAGCATTGTTGAGATCTCGCGGCCATTTGAATACCAGTGGCTGGAAACCACAGGTGCAGGGTGTGTGTGTGGGGGGGGGGTGCTCTTGTGCTTGGGTCTAGCTTGCAGGTTTCCTACAGGCAACCTGGTTGGCCACTGTGAGAACGGGATGCTGGACTAGATGGGCCAATGGCCTGATCCAGCAGGTTCTACGTATGTTTTTCAAGTAGCATTGTTACATTGTTGTGGATTACTGAGGCGTTCCCTTTATGCTTTGTGTGCGAGCACATTTGCTTAAATTCTTGAACAGCAAGACTCTGAATTCTAAGATAACATTCAGTATTTCATGCTAAAAAAAGGACCTAGAATCAAAACTGTCAAAAGGGAAAAGAAAAGCAGCATTCAGTAGAAAAAAAAAAGAATTGCATAAATTAGTATATAAAGCCCTTAACAATTTAGGACCAGTTTACCCACGAGATTGCCTTACCCTACATGTGCCCACTTGTCCTCTTCAGTTGCAGAATTGGCATTACTACAGGTGCCATGTAGAACTCATTCCACATTTGTAAGAACTTGGTCATTTAGTGTGGCACTGCTTACACCTACCTATTGAGATCAAGCACCTTCACTGTGCTATTTTCAGTGCCTGCTAAAACCAAATTACCTCAACACCTGATTCACACAATAGCACAGCAGAGGGAGGGAGGGAGACAAATTATTTTTGCTGCTGAGTGATTCAGGGGGTCTGCAGGGTAGTACAGCAGCAAAAGACATGTATTTACAGGCCGCGCTACCCTGCAAGACCCCCTGAATCACCAGGCCAGGCAGGTGGAGGTGTTAGGTGTCAAAGGTGGTGCTTTGACATCTCCATCTGGTTGCAAGAGGCCAGTTGCATGTTGCAAAATGTGACTAGCGCCCAACTGATTTCAAACCCTGGTCATATCTTACCCTTGACTGGACCTGATAGGAGTTGGAGTGCTACAACATCTGGAGGGTCACCACAGTTCTCTGTTATTTCTTTTATCATCCTTCAATAGTGAGTAATTTCCAAGTAAGGATTCCTTTATAGGGTTATGAGTAGTCATGCAGCGTATTTTAAACCTCACAAAACTAGAAATTAAAGTATTAAATGAGCAATTTGTATTTTTAAACAAGGTTGACCTGCAGTGGTTAAGTGTGCTTATGTTTGTAGGCAAAGTCTGATAAGTTTGCCATAAATTCAAAAGTAAATTCTCCAGATGGGTTTTTAAGGAAGAAGATAATCAAACTGCATGAAGTTCTGTAAAAACCACACTTTTCTAGGGAAGAAGTAGCTGCTACAAGTTTATCTGGTCACCTGAGTGTCTTTCTCCTTACAGTACTGGTAAAATTTAATATAGCACAAGTAGACACCACTGACTTTCTGCTGTGGAGATAAAGAATAGAAAACTGCAGTGATGTTACATCACGTGTTGGCTGAGGAGGGGTGTGTGTGCGGCTGGGCTTCTTCAGTCCTGTGTGTCTTGTAGCATCTAATCCTGCCCCAAGAGTCAGTATGTTTGTGGCCTTGCCTATATAATTAACTTTGATTTGTTTCTGTTCCAGTTTTTCATATATGTTTTCTTGCCCCCATCTTTTAGGATCGGAAGCTGTCCAAATCGGAGAGGCAGCGATTTAAGGAGGAGGCTGAAATGTTGAAAGGGCTTCAACATCCTAACATTGTTAGGTTCTATGATTCCTGGGAGTCTACTGTCAAGGGAAAGAAGTGTATTGTTCTGGTTACAGAGCTTATGACATCTGGCACATTGAAAACGTGAGTATAGGCTTGCCAGAGCCCATACACTAATGATGAACATGGATATCAAAATTACCAAAAAATAAATGAAAAGTTTTTGGTTTTTTGGGCAAAAGCCCTGTAAAAGCCATTGGATATATATTTGGATATATTGACCATTTCTGAGAAGGAGGTTCAGAATGATAGCTACTGTGTACTCTTTGGGCTTTAAATTATGAAACCTCTCAACCCATTGTCAGTGCTGTACTGTGAAGGAAGAAATGTTAATAGGCTTTGAGGTCCTACTTTGGCAAGTCATATCATGTCTCCTGTACAGCAAATGCTTGAAATTCCAGGCAAAATAAGCAGCAAGGGAGTCCTCTAGTGGTCAGTGAAGCACTCTTTGCTCTTCTCTAAATTTTGATTCAGAATAGAATTATATATCAAATAAACTATGGGGAAGGACCTTAAATATAGCATCTGCCTTGTATGCCGAAGCTCCCAAATTCAATTCCTGGCATCTCCAGGTAGGGCTGGGAGAGAACCCTGCCTGAATCCCTGGAGTGCTGCTGCCAGTCAGTGTAGATAATACTGACCTAGATGGACCTATGCTCTGACTTGGGATAAGGCAGCTTCCTATTTTCATAAGTTCATGTAATATAATTAAGAAATTCTTACTTAATGAAACTGTTTTTAAAATTAGAATTCCTTAATGGCAACTAGTTTTTGTGTGGAGGTACATTGTGAGGGAGAGTAGCTGTCAAGTTTGAAATCCTCTTAAATGAATGGAATCAGTGAGTTAGAGGAAAGGACTGTAGATAAGCTAGTCAAAGTATCTCAACTTGAGTTCTTTCTGAGGTCTACTGATACCCCAAAATAGGATTAGTTAAAAAGTGGTAATAGGGTCAGTTACCAGGTCTGCCAGATTCCTTTTCAGAAACTGTGGATTTGGAGACCAATTGCTACTTTCATATCTCAACACTTTGATGAATCTCTTTATTTCCCAAATCAAAGACAACAGGATTAATTGAATTTACCTGGGTTGTAGTCGAAATTTGGCTGTCCATAATGGAATTAAGTTTAAATTGTGAGTGGTTTACTTCTGTCCAGGTACAGAAGCCTGTAAATAGTCTCTGTTGGCAACTTCTGTAGGCTTTGTTATCGGCTTGCATGTGCAGTGACTGAGCACATGTAACCACCATTACAAAATATCTTATTTGAGCAACAGCTGTATCTGCTAGCATCTTCTATAGCCCGCTTCCCCCCTTTCCCAAGCGAGCAAACTGTCAATCTTAGAAGTTATGGCTTAAAATAAAATTTAGTTAAACAAGTCTGCTTCATAAACCTGATTTAAATTGGCTTAAATTGACCAGAGATTAAGAATATAAGAAAAGCTCTGCTGGATCAGACCACTGGCTGATCTAGTCTAGCATCCTGTTCTCACAGTGGCCCAACCAGATGCCCATGGGAAGCCTGCAAGCAGGACCCGAATGCAATAGCATTCTGTTCTCCTGTCAGCTATTACTACATTTCCTCTTTTGCCTGCTTTCTTGATTTCCTTATTCATCTCAGGATCTCCCCTAGCATTTAGATAAGGGAGGGTGATAGTACATACCCCATACTAAATTACTCATGGGGCCCACAATAATTTTGTGGACAAGCCTGCCTCTTTTTGGATTTCTAGTTGGCTTGATTCAATGTCCTCTTTGATGTACAGAGTGAAACCATCTCCAGTACATCTTTCCCTGTCCTTACTATATCTGGTCTATATCTGGAGATAACAATTTCCCACTACCTCCCTCCATTCCACGAGGTTCCCATTGTGCCCACTATATCAATGCTGTCTTTTAAGACCATACACTCCAGTTTGCCCACCTTAGCTCAGAAGCTTCTAACATTAGCTTATAAACATTTACATACAGTGTCCATCTTCAAGTGTCTTTTGCCTGGGGTGCTTTGGCCTCCCTGAATTGCTGACCTCTGCCCCTTCACTCTGAGTGCCTAGTTCTAGAGCTCCACAGTTTAAATTTTCGTTATTTCCCCCCTCCCCCCATCTTCATCTCAGGGGACAGATTTGTTCCAATCAGCTCCTGTTGGCACTTCCCATGTAATTAATTCAAAAGTTGCTATGCCATCTTTTCTCAGTGTTCTGCTTCCATTCTGGTTCATGTGGATTCCATACCTTTTGTACAGGCTTGGCTTGCTGCAAAATTTCCCCCGGTGCTTATCAAATCCAAACCCCTCTTCCCACAACCAGTGTCTCATCCACACATTGGGATTGCTAGCCTGCACCACACTAGCTGGTCCTGTGTGTGGAACTTGTAGCATTTTGGAGAAAGCTACATTGAATGTCCTGGCTTTCAGCATCCTATCTAGCAACCTAAATTTTGCTTCCAGGACTTTGTGACTACATTTCCTGCATGTCGCTGGTGCAAACATGCACCATGACCACTGACTTCTCCCTAGTACTAACCACCTGTCTAACTGTGGGCAGTGGGCAACACCTGCACCCTTTGCACCAGGTAGGCGGTTCACCATGCAATCTGTATGCCTATCATAATGGCAACCATCTATGCCCCTAATTATTGAATCACTCACAACCAGGATCCATCCACCTCCTGGAAAAATATCATTGGCACAAGAGGATACCAGCTCATCCAAGGAATGGGTTCCTTCTAATGTATTATTTCCCTCTACCTCAGAGCAGTGACCTCCTTCCCTGAGACCCTCAACCTCTCTGACACCTGGGGAGCTTTCATTCTGGGAGTGGGCTGCATGTTAGATCTTCATGAGCCTAGAAGGCTGTTGCTGTGTTAGTCCTAGAAAATGGTTTATTGTTTTTGCAAGTTTTGAGAAGGTAATATTTATGTTACAGAAGTTCAGGACAAATGGGAAAGTAGATGATACTCAGCATTTCAGAGGTGGCTAGAAATGGAAATGCATTTAGTTACAGCGAGTACTTAAAAGATTTACAAGGACACTTGGAAGTGACTAAAACATTTGAATTAAAAGCCACAAGTCACCCACATAAATTGAATTACAGATGCTATTTCACTTCCTCTGATAGATTTCAGTGACCTGTAAGCTCATTTTCATTTGCTGCAACATATGATACTACCTTACCTGCCAATCTGTTTTAACAGAATTAGCCAGTACTGGTATGCACTGCTTTCAAATTCAGAACAGTGCTTTGGTTCATTGTTGCTTTCCCTGGGTGAAATGGGGGAAGGAGCATAACTGCAGAATGTCAACTCAGAATGAAAAGAAGTTTTTGTTGGAAAGTGAATGACAGCTATGATGTCACTGTAGCAACCACTTAGCTATTGAAACATTAAATGAAGGAGCTCAGCCAGGAAGCCTTGGTTACAGTGTAAACTTGCCTTTGCTTGACTGATGGTAATTAAGCTAACAAATGAAAAGATTTTTATGTTCTCCTTGAGACCTTGATCCTGTCCAATGACAATATCTGCACTAATTTTAAGAATTTTAGAAATGTATTTTTAGTTGGCATATTCTGTATTGCGATTCTCTCCCCACTACCCTTTATCTAAATGTGAGTGAGGTGCCAGTGCTTCCAGCAGCATTTTGCTGCTCCTCGAAAATCTGGTGGGAAAAGTTATTTTTGTGTGCCTTGACAAGCCCATTGTCCTGTGAACAAACCTCATTATACCCCAGTTAGCTTCCAGGAAAATAATTTAATTTCTTAGTTCAGCCTTTAGCAATACCCCTTGCCCCCATAAACCTTTCCTCTATATTAACAGGCTTCCTCCTTTCCATGTAACGTTCAAAGGTTGCTTCCCATGTCACCCCCCTCCATGACAGGTGTTTGGGATTCTGTGACTAGCTTGGATGCCATTATTATATGATCTTACAATAGATGCTTATCGTGATTATTCCACAACAATTCAGTGCATGTTCTGATCTCTGCTTATCCACTTTATTGTAAGAGCATGTCTTGATAGAATAATTTGGACAGCTGCCAGTTCTGGATGATTGATACTAATCCCCATTGCTACAATTTCTGTAGTTCAAAAGGAGGGACTTTGAAATCACATTTCAAACATTAATCCTGGTGTGAAAACTGCCCTGTAAAAAGCATTTGAGAGATGGTTTCAGAGGGAAAATTGGAGTTCAGCTTGGAATAAGAGTTGAGAAGAGGAGGATATTAGAAGGAAAGTATGAGTATGAAGGGCTCATGGGAGACTGGGAGAGGAAACTGCTGGTGTACATGTTCTGATTTGATTTCTTGGCTGAGATACCCTTGGAGTATTTTGCTGCTCACATAATATCACTCAGGTTTTTGTGCCCATTGCACAAGATACATCTTAAGAGAGGCAGTTTGGCTCAGCTATAGTGTCTTTGCTTACATTCTTGGCTCTTAAAACGTACTTTGTCTGTTGCCAATTCTCTTCTCTTAAAGGCTTTGGGCCCCAACATTCCCTGCCAGGGATGCTGACTTTTCAAATATTATCCTAAGCTGGTATCACTTCTGAAGTCTCTTGAAAATGGAGCATTTGCAGGAAGTGTAACAGCTAGGTTTTAAGCAAAATTAATTGATGTAAAGCTAATTGCTTAAAAAGACCAAAAAATTATTACAGCATGTACAGAAAACTGAATGGATATTTAAAATTATTTCAGTTTCCTATGAAAAAGAGAAACTGCTTTGAGGTAGTGAATGTGCTTATTTTGCCCTCCTTTTGAAAAACATATAAAGATGAAACAGGACGAAGGACAAGTTTTCCTATGTGCTTTTCAAGACTTCAGGCAACTGATTAGAAAGTGGAGTAATTAGGAGCAAAGGAAAGAAAGGGGATTAATTATATTCTAGGACAGGCATGTCCAACCAGTCTACTGGTCGACTGTGGGCTGTCCCTGGTCAATTGTGGGATCGCAACCCGCCCCCCCCCAAGCCCAACAACTCTGATGAAGCCTCCTCAAAAAGAGCTCAACAACTCTTGCCAGCCCCCCCCCCCATCAACAACTCTGGCCACTCCCTCCCAAAGAAAGCTGACAATGGGTAGATCACTGTCAGTTTTCTTATAGTGGGAGCAGATCACAGTCACTTGGGAGTTGGACATGCCTGTTCTAGGATACTGAGGGGATAAATGAAGAATGGCCAGCAGAGAAAGAAGAGTTGCCAGGGTCAGTAGAGAAAAGGCATGTGTGCACACATGGATCCAGTAAAACACATTTTCTTGAAATCACATTTATTGTTTCAGAGGTTATTTACTCCCTGCTCCCCTCAAAATCAAATAACAGATCATATCTGCCTTCATTGACTTTCAGAGCTACTATTGAGCAGCAACATAAATCTGAGGTGTCAATCCTTATGGAACCTCATAATTTGTGCATGGGATCACCTCAAGAGTATTGTCAAATCATAGTCCACCTGGGTCACAGATGTGTTCTGTGATTTGATGGCAAATTTGTTGTCATGTTATGTAAAAATCATGAAGATACATGGGAATCTGTGCTTTGGGCATGTTTTTGTGGTGCTGGCAAGCACTGTCACTGTGATTTTTACTGTGCAACCTACTACTAAAAATGCATTACTGGTGCAAGGGAACCTCATATAAAATCATGCACATTGAAAAAGATTTGTTTTAATTCTACTGAATCTCAACTTTTACCCAGAACCCAAAGAATATGAAAGAGAGGGAGTGTGTGCTTATGTGAGCATGTGCACATGCATGTATTTTCTGGAGAAGGGAGTTAAGGAAAAGCACCAGAGGTGGGTTGCTCCTATACCACACACTTAAAATTTCAAATGTGCCCCCAGGTTCAGAAAGATGGGTGGCCCCTGGATTCTAACTCATGAGCCAATCAGTTCAGTGCATTGATTTATATAAATGCTGCAGGTGTAGTTATTCTTTTTGTGAAGGAGCACTGCTGTGCAGTTTCTATTACCTCTGAAAAGGAAGATTGGTTTTCAGTACTCCAATACTTCTCTTTGCCCTATGTTCTTTTTCTGGAGGTGTGGAGTTCGGCTCATATGAAAGCCTGCTTTTGTTACGATCTGTTTGTTTGATGTTTGTAGTTCACTTGCGGCATCCCAGCAGCATGGACTTCAAGATGACGCTTGAAGCTTATTTTTATTCCTGTGGCTCTTTCCCTAGGTACTTAAAAAAGGTTTAAAGTGATGAAAATCAAAGTACTGCGAAGCTGGTGCCGGCAAATACTGAAGGGTTTGCAGTTCTTGCACACGCGTACTCCTCCCATTATCCACCGTGACTTGAAGTGTGACAACATCTTTATTACTGGCCCCACAGGATCAGTCAAGATAGGAGACTTGGGTCTGGCAACCTTGAAGCGGGCTTCCTTTGCCAAGAGTGTGATAGGTAAGCTTCTGGTTTTGTTTTAGCAGTTCTTACTTGAAAATTTGCCTAATAGAATTTCCAATCCTCACAAAGCAAAAAAAAGGAAATGAAAAAAGTTTCATCCCTGAAAATTCTGGAGTTTTAGGTCTCATAAAATATGGGTCCCTGATATTAGTATTCTCCTAAAGAATCTTCTCAAGGTGTGTAGGCTCTTTTCACTTAGCAGAACACTTGATAAAACCAGAGTATTTCCATCCTTTGAATAACTGTTCTGAACTGGGATTAAGGGGAAGCACAGAGTTTTGAATGAAAATTCTTTTTTTAAAAATACAAACCTCTGCCTTATACCTAAAATTTCTGGGCTGCTGCATTTAAGTACCCTACAATAGCTTTGTCAGCTGGTCTGAAACTATGACCAGATAATTGGTTTTAACAGCTCTGGTTCTGCTATTTGTTTTGTGAAGGATGCAAGCTAACAAGGGAAAAGATGGTCCTTTTTAGTCTGCATCTGCTAGTGTGTGTTTTTAGAATGCAATCTACAGCTATTTTCTGAAGTTCTGTTTTCAGAAGTTGTAATACCTGATTTTAACAATACAAATTCACATTTGCAAATATCTTGGCCTTTGTGAACAATGAAACATTTCCTGCTTTCCAGCCAGTCTAGAAACAATTAATGTTAGTGGAAGGGGAGAATATTCAGTGGGAAATGACCAACTTCCTTAACATAGCAGTCTCTTTTCCATATGTTATGATCAACTTCAATTGGAAAACTGCCATATTCTGACTTTTTTGAACAATTGAATTCGTATGCTCCCTTTCAGTTAAGGCTGGAACACCACTGAATCATGGGAAGATGGATAGGGTAGTAAAAAGTGATTGATTGGTAATTTGCATACAACCTGGTTTGTTTGCCAGGAAATAATTCTCAGCTTATTGGTAATTTCTGGCTCTTACATATCTCTGATTCATATAGTGCAGATTTCTGTCAAATGGAAGGGTGCATTGGTTTGATACACCAGGGATAATACACTCCTACAAATTTGATTTTAAATTAGGATTTATTGAATCTCGCCCTCTGTGCCTATAACTCAATCTCTCTATATTTCTGAGTATTTTTGCCTGTAGGATGTCCCTCACTATTTCCTGTATCTGCAGTAGGCCTATAAAATGTACTGCAGGTGAAATGGTAAGTATGTAAAAAGGGCTCTGGTGAGTGGCCTTTGCAGAACATTTTTGAAAAATTAATTTTAAGAAGCCTTTATTCTAAAACACAGGGTTTTTCATTGCAAGGCTTTGTTTAAAGTGACACTAAACAGAAGTAAATGGAGTATTACGGGTCAGAGACTAGCTGTGGACTTTTCCAGTACTAATTTTTTACAGCGAGGGGCAGGCAGGTATGCTGAAACAAGCCTCATACCTCCTTTCTCAAAAGAGGAAAGGTAAGTGTGTCTAACAAGTATTTGGTTTGTAGTCTAGCTAGTCTCTTACTTTATTTTTCTCCGTTTATCTCAGCCTGGGATTCAATCATATACCATTATGACTGAAAATCTTCATATGTTCCCCCTGATTCTGTTTCCATTATAATATATATAAATGGTGAACATAAAAAACCATTAACTGTTGGTTCCTCACTTCTTGCAAAGGCCTTGCAATGGAAGACCCATGGGATACGTTGATGAACAGAGTGACTGAGGGTGTCCTCCCTCTTCTTTTTGCTTCCACTTCTTCTTTCTCACAGGCTACCCGTCTACTCCCTTCTGCGGTGAGTAACGCCAGCAGCCTCTGCTCGCTTTTGAGACATTTAGAGTCTGAATCGTTCTTTTAATTTAAGGTACCCCAGAGTTCATGGCACCCGAGATGTATGAGGAGAAATACGATGAATCCGTTGATGTATATGCTTTTGGGATGTGTATGCTTGAGATGGCTACGTCTGAATATCCTTATTCTGAGTGTCAAAATGCTGCACAGATCTACCGTCGAGTGACCAGCGTAAGTCTCCTATAACCCTCTGCAATTGTAGAGCTCCTACCACAGCTAACAAAAGATGTCTTCCTTCAGTGATAGAGGATGGGTAGCTTTGCAGGAGATAAAAAGAAAAGAAAACACACACTTAGGAAAATGTAGACGCTCTCTTTCCTAGCTCTGCATGAAATGCAAGAAGTTGAATGCTACAAAAAGGAAGAGCCACAGCCCACACTTAAAGCTCAGGTAGAAATCAGTTATTTAATCCTACTGTTCATTGGCATTCATTCAGGAAAAGTTGTGTAACCAGGTACTGTACCAAACTAAAATTGGATATTGGTGGAAATCTTTTGACCCTGTCAGTTTTTTCTTCATTACAAAACATTAACTTGAACATTAGCTCTTGATCTGAACAAATATGTTAGAGAATGAAAGAATTATAGGCATGTGTTTGCTTAACTAGGATTCTAAATACTTGTTTATACAAGCTGCAAGTAAAAGTTTAAAATACTTTTGTCCTACCATTCAAGGAAATCTTATTTTCCGTTGGTTTCCAGTAGAAATATCCATATTTCTGGTTCAAGTCTTGGCATGCTTGCACAAATATAGCTAAAGCTACCACTTCATATGAGGGATAAACAGACTGGGGTAAGCTTGAGGTTGTGAGGGTGCAAAAAAATAAGTGGTGGGAAGAAGCTCCCCTCCAAAAAACAACACCCAGGAGAATTCAGTGGCTATAAAAAGCATTAGTAAAATCATTAAGCCTTGGTAATGTAGCTGAGATTGAGCACAAGTGTTTTCCACCAGGTCCATGAAGGATGGGGGAGGGCAGTTGGGTACACTTTCTCCGGGCCCTGGAGGGCTTAAGCTGACCGGGGGGGGGCAAACCCAGGACCAGCATTCTTTTTGTTTTTGAGTTTATAACTATAACAAGACTCCACCCAGACCTCAGGTAAGCTCTGCATGGGGCTGGTTTCCACCCCATGTCCCCCCCCCCCAAATTGGTGGGAACCAAAATGGAGAAAACTACCCACCACATAGAAGCCTCACTGATGTGCATCTGCATGACTCATTGTTCTAGACTTGCACTCCTTAGAACAGTGACTCGAGCAGAAATACCCAGGAGATGGCCTCCTTCGAGTGTGGCAAATTCATAGCCTTGCACATGAATAGGAAAGCTTTCTTGAGTTCAATAGGAAAGTGTGCCTCTCATATTCAGGGGAAATAGTGTGTCTCCACAATTAAGAAACTTTGAGGGGGAAATTGATGAAAATGGATGCGAGATTCAGCCTGTGTTCAGTTCACTTCAATAAACAGTGCCTTTTGATATTAACTCATAGTATTAGAAAATAATTTATCAGAGCACCAACCAGTGCCAGTTGAGATAATTCCTCTGGGAAGGGGCTTCCCCACTCAGTGCAGCAGCACCATCACAGGCAGCAGATTTTTTTCCATTTCAGTCACAAAGGAGGTGGGAGTTAAGGATAGTCAGCTGGTCTCACCTAGGCCTGGATGGGACATGCGCTCCCTTGCAAACACAGCCTTTGAATTATTCTGGCCTTTTCTTCCTTGTTGGTGACTTCGACTGCAGCTGCCTCCCTGAGCTACCTATAGGATGTTGCATTCCCCCTCAATCTCCTTCTCAAAAGTCCACCTTTTCTATGAAGCCTTTGACACAACCACATTATCTGTGGAAGCTAAGCCTAAGTGCAAATGAATTGAATACATTTTTCTACTTCCTTCCTCTATTGTTTGCTTGTGTAGGATTTTAAACTTCTTGGGGCAGGGACCAGCTGTCTTTTTTCTCTGTAAAGCACCATGCACACTGATGACACTGTGTGCAAGCCTACCTTTTAAAATAATAAACTGAAATAGAATGCAATGAACTTTATTATTAAAGTTCTGTTTGTATTTTTTTCTTTTAGCTGATGTTCTGTAGTACTGAAATTTAACTCTGGAAAATTGGTGTCTCTTATGTTGGTGACTCCAAGACTCCAGGCAGCAGTGAGCAGCATCTTGTTTTGATGGTGGGGTTGCCTAGGGTTTGGCTCCTCACCCCTCCCCCACCTTCACCCTAGAATGGAATTTCCTTGTCACCCTCATCAGAGGGCTATGAAATGTGCACTAAAGTGGGATCAATTTGGACATACTGTGGACCTTAGGGGAAGGTGGGTGATTAATAATAAGAAGTGGGTGTGATTGTGCAGAGCAGAGGGGAAAGCTTTGGTATACTGGGGCAAGTTAGAAAGAGGAAGATCAAGCCTTGTATGCAGCCAATTTTGGTTCAGGGTGGCATACACATTGCAGATTTAGGCATACCCACAACATGAAGGGGTCAAGTTAGAAAAGAGAATCAGAGACTATAATTCATTTCATTTCACTTTTGCCTTTTAAATTCATTCATAGAAATAGTGTTTCTGTAGCGTTCCTGAAATAGGGAATGATTCTATTGGTTTACAACTGAGCAGGGCAAAAAGCTATTAAAGTTCAGCAGAAACAGTTTAAGGGAAACCAACTTCATTTCTTCGCATGAGCTAAATAAAGAGAACCAAAAGCAAGACAACACTACCAGTAATGCAGTTGTAGAAATCAGGATAGTTATTGTTTCCCCTTTACTTTGTCTTTCCTCTCTGCATGAGTGTTTGTATGTCAAACAGCAAAGATCTGAGGATCAGAAATCAGACTTGTAACTGTACAGGCAAAAGTAATTTATTTTAATCCTTTGTGAATACAGTGAGTAATACAACTTCCAAGCTACTTCAGAAGTATGCAGAGCTCCTGGGGCTAAAACGTTAGGTATGCTGGCCTCCTGTATTTCCATACAAATGTGTGTAAAAGATCCAGGTTTATTGCTAATCTCCCAGGGCTACACTAAATACTTAACCATGAATGGATACAAGTTGTTTTGGAGTTTGGTACTTGTTAAAGGACAAACTGTCCTTGAGTTTCCTGCATCTTTTTTAACCTTTCAAATCTCTGCATGGAAGCTGTTTTTGAACGTCATGCTAAACCATAGTTTAGCATGAAGTGAATGAGCCTAGGTGAGCCTCAGGCTTGCATTCTCCTCTTCTCTCACTCAGCTGGGCAGAGGTTTGAAAGCTTTGGCTTTACTAGTTTGTTCCATCCAATCTGGTAAACATTAATGTTCCTTGAAACAAGTTGGCTTGTTTCAAACATCATAGTTCTCATGAAGCAGTTTGTTGATCTGGATGAAGTGACAAATAATGAAGAAGTGGAAGCATCTGACTGCTCTCAGCTGTGTGGAGGAGGCGAGAGATCATGTATGTGTGAGACTAAGGCTCACCTAAGCTTGTTCGTGTCACTTAAGCTACAGTATAGTGTAGGAGTGTGGAATTTATGCCACTCCAAAGTAGCTGGACTGTCAACTCGCATCAGTCCAAGCTATCGTGGTTAATGGTAAATGATGATGAGTGTCGTAGTCTAGCAATATCTGGAGTGCCGCAGGTTCCCCATGCCTGGTCCAGCACAATGTCCAAACTTGGCCTGAGTCCGTTATATGGGACTAGCATTTTTGTTTCATAGCTCTTCTGGTGATGCAGGTTTTTCTGTATTTCCTATAGGGTTGTTTGGTACAATTCAGCATTAATTGGTTCAGTGACTTAGATATTGCCCAGAATTTCCATATAAGAGTGCTGCTTTCCACAATGTGTGGAAAATAAGGTAGATTCAGATAATTGGAGTGATTTCAGTGATTCCAAGGTTTAGTTAATTGTATGAAGTTAACTTCAATTGTTTACATAAGCAATAGGTTTTATTTATGGACAACCTAATATATACATAGAATCATATCTTAAAATAACACATCTGTCTTAAAATGTTAGGCTTTATGTTTAAGTTCTAGGATTCATTCATTAAGAACCTCGTTATTTGACATTTTCATCCCAATATTATGGATGTTTGCTCAGGAGGAAATCCCATTAAGTTCAGGAAGACTCCAGTAACCACCTCACAGAACTAGTCCAGGAGGATACTGCTGTCAGTGGTATCAAAAAATTTCAACAGATTGAAAAGCAAGAGCCAGAGATGTATTCTCCTTGCCCTAGTTCTTGGTACAGGTCACCAGGGCAACACAGGCTGATTTAGTCACCAAACCAAGCCTGATTCCAGATAGAACTGGATCCAGATAGTTTGTATTCAAGGACTGCTTCTCCCCATATGAACCGACTCAAACCATGCTAACATCATCTGAAGCCCTTCTTTGTGTGCTTCTTCCATGAGAGGTCTGGAGGGTGGCAACACGAGGACAGGCCTTTTCTGTGGTGGCTCCCTGTTTGTGGATTGCTGTTCCCAGGAGGCTCATCTGGTGCCTTCTTTAAAACCAAATGAACAAACAAAATGAACCAAATGAACAAACCATATGAATGAGCAAACCAAATGAACAAACAAACAAAACCCCAAATGAGCCAAATCCAAATGAACAAACAAAATATCCTGCAGCTCCTTTGCCACCACCTTGCCCAAGAAGCGAGTATTGGTGACCAGGTGGTACTTATTGTAAACCTCTTCAAGAGTGAATGTGCCACAGCTTTTTTAAGGCCAGCAAGCCCCACTTCATTGCACAGTGGCATGTTCTCCACACCCTGGACTGACCTGATCAGTCCCCCACCCCCACCCCACCTGGCTTTCATCAGCCAGAATGGGTAGCATTCAAGAGAGCTTGTTCCATCATTGCAAGAGTCATGCCCACCTTCGCAGTTGACAGTGAAGAGCCAAAGGTCTCCAGTTCAGTGGGTTTTTTAAAAAAACGAATCTCTGCAGAGGTCTATGGCAGTTTTAAACTATTTAAGGTGGCCGAAACATGTTGATGTGTTTGCTCCTGATGGTTCTTGAATCTGTACTATATAAAGAGACCATCTTATCTATTATGCTATTCTGCTTTGTTATTATAGCACTGAATTTTGCTACTGACCCATGTCCTCATTGAACTTAGGGCCAAGATAGTGATATGTTAAATGTGTGAATACATTTAACTTGCTGACTTCTCTCCCCTCCCATGTTGTTGTTTAGTCGTTTAGTCGTGTCCAACTCTTCATGAC